AAAATTTTTCGCCATATAATTTTTTACTTTACGTGTAATATACTGTTCTACTAGAATAGTACGACCACCAAATTTTCGAACAGATAAACCTGGAACTTCTATGTATAAAGCTATCGCTTCCTTCTTTTTCCCCTGCATTTCTAGACAAGCTGCTTGAAAATAACGGAAAAACGCGGGACTCCAATAGTTCTCTGTTGCAAGCGTGTCAAAACATTGTGCAGCTTTTCCCCATTGTAAAGTCATCGCGTAGTTCATTCCCAATTCATAGTCACATAAACGTCTCAGTTCGACACCAAAACCTTCTTTTAGGTTGTGATTTACTGATATGAATGCTTCGGTAGACGCATCCAAATCACGTTTGAGCCGGAGATTACGGCCGGCGAAAAAAGTAAAAAAATCAGATCCGGGAAATTGTTTCAAAGCATCTTGAATATATTCTTCAGCTTTCGGTATCTAAACGTATAACAATTTTAAGAATTAAACCTTAATTATAAATATGAAATTTCATGCCACATATTTATATGGATTAAATACATTATCTGGGCCCAAAGTAGATGGTGAAAAAGAAGTCAGCATTGTATAAGATGTCACAAATCTGCAGTCCATAAGAACATTAATAACATACAAGTCAAGTAGCAATATAGAAATTTATGTATCAACAACTTACAAGAGAGATGCCAATGGCGACCTTATCCCTCTTCCTTTTAAAGATGCGTTTAGTAATTCTATACCTAATTCTTTATTCCCCCTATAACCTATAGCAGATATAATTTTTATAATTTTTCCAGGCATAAATGAAAGTACAAGATTACATGTTCCATAACTAAAGATTATAAACAAAATTATGTTAATAAATATAAAAAGATCTGGCCAACATAAAAACATAATTACATCAAAAAATTACCGACCCAAACTCTACACCCCCTTTAGTATGATAATCCACGGATACATTGAAGCCAGGTTTATTAATTTCATTCCACACAATTTCGTAGTTTTTATAACCTAGTAGTATAAATTCAATGAATAAAGAGAATAAATAAATAAATAAGAAATAATTTAATTTACCTCGTCTTAAGTTCAACCCTGCTTTTACATAACTAATAATACTTTCTTGGAGTAATTGAATAAGAGCTATCAACAATAATGATTCAGCCTTAATAACAGTACTTCTTAATTGTCCATTTGACATAAATTGTTGATTCTTGTTACTATTTCCAAAGTAATTTAAATTGGATATAAACTTTCCGAAACTTGATCCTATACTTGATTGCGATTTAAAGGCTCCTATCTGTGCGCTAGCTAAGGATTCTGCAGAAACAAGTTGTTTAATTGCAATAGAAATATCCTGCTCGTTAAAAGTTGTTACCGCTAAATAAAGAAATAAATGTTAAAAAACAATACTAATAAATGTAATGATAACTAGGTTAATCAACTTACCTTTTAGAAATGATATACACCCTTGACCTAGGGCATATAAAGGATCAATATCTGCTTTTTCTGCAAAAATTTCCTGCGCTTCTGTATACCGATTGCAAAAAAAAGCTTGAACCTATAGAATAGAATATTAAACAGGATCGGATCAAAGATGACAAGAAATTTTTTGGACATTGGATTCATCAAAGTTTCATACCCCTTGCCACATTCTCTCATCTAACATTAGAAAAACCAAAAATAATTAGAATAATGGAATACATATCCTACAACGTACAAATGTATATGTAATACCTTCTTTTTCTTGCTCATTCGCAGATAATGTATTGAGTTTGACATTGTTTAAATCTATATTATCAGAAATATCGTGATCGTCAGAATCTTCATAATCTATATTGCTATTAGAAGCATTTCCATTCTTTGGACCCATAATTACAAATATTACGGAAGATACCACAAAGACTGTATTACCTTCTTCAATATATGCAGGCCATGTTAGTCACACAAGGAGGTAAATCGGAAATTTGTATTACTAAGCGAATACACGCGTAACTCGCATATTTTTATCGAAATACCTTTTAAAGTAATCGTTTTTTGTTTGATGAACAATCTTTTTTAGTTACGAATTCCGGAGCTTATCACGTCAGAAATGATAAAAGGTCAAACATAAAAAGGCAAGCTGATATATTTAATTCACTTTAATTTATTTCAAAAATAATTATTTGTTTCATAAACTTTTATGAATTTGTAAATACCCAATACCCGGGGGCATTTTTGGGTTTTGGACTTGTCCAATTGGTTTTTTAATTGGACAATTTTGGACATAGTTTTGGACTGTTCAAGAGTTCTAATATTCATCAACTGAAACTAAAAATAAAATAGAAATATAATAAAAAAGTAAATATTTAATAAATTAAATGATAAAAAATTAATGTAAAAAAATCAATTTATTAATTGAACTAAAATTAAATTATTAGCTAAAATTAGTCATAATTCTGGCCAAAATTAATTTTTTGTCATGTGACCTGTCCAAAACCTGTCCAATGAAAAAAGGTTTTGTTTTGGACAAGTTTACAAGTTTTGGACAGGTTTTAGACAAATGTCCAAAATGTCCAATTGTCCAATTACCATTTTTTACTAAGTAATAATCCAATAACTTAATATTTATTATATTTATAAAATTTTTACTATTATGTGATTGTATGCTAAAATATCACAATTAATCATGTAATTGTAAATAGTAATGCAGGGGTAATTAACTATCAAGAATAACTTTATTAGTTAGATTTATTTTTAGTACAATATAAATTTTCATATTTATTAAAAATATTTCTTATGATTCTTTTTCTTTGTTACATCCCAAACTTTTGTATTATTTTTTTTATGTATTAATAAAGTAAGTCTTTATATTTGCCATATAATATTAAATAATTCCTTTATAATTATATAAATTATCTATTATTAATCATATCAATTAATAAAGCTAACCCATTCAAACATAAAGTATTGAAACAGTATATTGCTGAACTTGAAACTAAAAATAAGGCTGATAAAGCTATTATTAAGGATATATTTATCTTCAAGTAAATGTTATAAATAAATGTATCAGACATAATAATATAAAAGTTAAATTTAAGGTTAAAATTAAAGAATTAAAGAAAAACAGGACAAATATTATTATCAAAAATACTGAATTTAGAGCTAGAGTTGTAAAATTAGAACAAGATATAGATGAATTTAAAGAAGAATTAAAAAAAATTGTAAATTTCAGAAGAAATATATTCTAATTGCTCAAGTTAGAGCTTTGAATGGGTCAGATTAGATCAAGTAATTGGCTTGACCTGACCCAAGGTGAGTCATGAATTTGATGACCTGATCTAAATATTACGAATTAGTTCAGATACCTGACCTGATCTGTTAACCTGATATATTTTAGGTCAAAAAAACATTTAAGTGTTTTTTATATATCAAATTATAAGAAAAAATGCTGAACATTTTTTTTTATAAAAAAGAACGTTTTAGTACTTTTTATATATCATATATTATGCCAAAATGTTTTTTATATCAGGTCAGGTCAGGTATCTGACCAACCTATTAATGTTTTAAAAAAAAAAACAGATTTGATATTTTTTCATTAAAAAAATTTTTTTTGTTTCTTTTAATGAAAAACGTCAGATTTGATATTTTTTCATTAAAAAAATTTTTTTTGTTTCTTTTAATAAAAAAATGTCAGATTCGATGTTTTTTCATTAAAAATTTTTTTTTGTTTTTTTTACTAAAAAATGGTTTAAAGCTCTAAATGGGTCAGTTTAGTGCAGGTTTTTTCAGTTTAGGTAGGAATTGAAACTAAATGAAAACTGAACCAGAACTGTTCAGTTCAATTCAGTTCTATCTGATTTTTAAAATAAATGCAAAATTGTAATAACTCAGCAACTAGTAATCATATAAAGACGAGCAATAGCTCATTAGAATCATTTCATCAAGATGCGTCAAATGGTGGTAAGATCATTTCTTTAGCCTTGATATATCACGAAGTAATCAACACTAAACATTTTTTAAGAAATTAATGCTAGAATTGTATTTATTGATCCTAGAGAAATGATTTTAGCATTATTTGATAGGTCTTAATGAAACGAATCTAATGAGTCCTTTTTATTTTTTTATAATTACTACATAACGAGTTATCTTAATTTTCACATTTTTTTAAATTTTGAATGTCAAAAAATAAAAATTCTAATCTAAGATATAACCTATCTTTTACTGATTGCATTAAAACGATTTTTAGCTCATTAGAACTATCTCAAATCTTAATAAAACGAGTTGAATGATGGTAAGATTATATTTCTAGTATCAATAGATACCTTCTAATGCTGATTTTCTAAATTTGCTTAGCATGATTTATCTCGTGATATATCAATGCTAGAGATATGATCTTACTATCATTCAACTTGTCTCATTGAGACAGTTCTAATAAGCTAAAGATTATTCTAATGCAATCAGTAAAAGATAGGTTATATCTTAGATCAGAATTTTTATTTTTTAACGTTTAAAATTTTAAAAAAATGTAAAATTAAGATAACTCGTTATGTAGTGATCATAAAAAAATGAAAAAGACTCATTAGTAAGATGCAAACTTATCCTCTCCTTAGAGTTATATTATTACATTATACGTTATAGTAGATGCGTTAAGTAGTGCTTCAAAAAAAATCTGATTTGATCTGGATCCGCAGATTTGATCTGAGCCAGATTCAGTTCGGTTTTCAAAATTTTAATCCGTAAATCAGATCAGTAAAAAAATCTGATCCAATCAATTTCAGATTGGATCAGATCATAACACAAGAAAATCTGATTCGATTTGAACAGATTTGAATCAAATTTTTTTAAAAAAAACCTTTTTCTGGACGAACGGACGAAGCTGGACGACCAAGATTTAAAAGCACGAACTAGGTAAGTTCATTTCTTTTTTTGTTATTATTTTTACTTGAGGGAACGTAATTAACAGTTCCCTTCTTTTTTAGTAGGAAGCTTGGATGAACGAAGCCTAATGATACGACCAGGATTTAAAAAAAATGAACGAACTATGGTAAGTTCATTCCTTTTTTTTAAGTTTTTTTTTTATTTTTTATTTAAGGGAACGTAATTAATGTTCCCTTTTTTTTTAGGAAACCTGGACGTGAGATAAAGGAACGGCCAGGATTTAAAAGAATGAACTATGGTAAGTTCATTTTTTTTATTTTTATTTTTTTTATTTTTACTTAAGGGAACGTAATTAATGTTCCCTTTTTTTTAGGAAACCTGGACGTGAGATAAAGGAATGACCAGGATTTAAAAGAATGAACTATGGTAAGTTTGTTTCTTTTATTTTATTTTTTTTTTTACTTAAGGGAACGTAATTAACGTTCCCTTTCTTTTTTTTTAGAAAACCTGGACGTGAGATAAAACTGAACGACTAGAATTTAAAGAAAGAACGAACTATGGTAAATTCGTTTCTTTTTTTATTTTTTTTTATTTTTACTTAAGGGAACGTACTAATTAACGTTCCCTTCCTTTTTTTTAGGACAAGGACCAGATCTGAACCAGATTCGGATCAGATTCAAATCGGATTCAAATGGATCCGAACTAGATTTGGATCAAATTGAACCAAATCTGATCAAATTCAGATCAGATTAAATCTATTAAAATAAAAATCAGATCAGATCAGATTTAAGCTGAATCTGGTCTGAACTGATTTGTTAGGAGTACTAGCGTCAAGGTGACGTTTGACATAATACTTGACATTTAACGTAATATATAACATTTGACGTAACATATAATATTTGACGTAACATATGACGTTTGATATAACTTATTACTTGATGTAACATAATTCTGATCGATTTAAATTAACTAATAAGCAATTTTTTTTATTAATTTATAATTGTAATTTAATTATTTTATTAATAATTTAATATTAAAATTTTTATTATAACAATAACGATAAATGGTCTAAATTTAGACACAAGATCAAAATGTAATACAAAGTGTAAATGTGCAATTTGTTAAACAATAATAATCTAATTGTTTTATTTTTTTTAAAATCGCAGTTGATTATTCTTTTTTTGTTTTATGTGTCATAACTTGCTTAAATAATGACAAAAACTGAAGAATCTAGTATATAAAAACATCCTTTTATTGATAATACTGAATTGCCAGCTGAAACTCCTTTTCCAAGAAAAAAAACTAGTAATAATAAAGGAGGTCCCAAATTTGATGAAGTTTGGGATTATTTTATTAAAGGAAAAGAAGTAAATGTAGAACATTATAAAGCTACATGCCACTATTGTAAAAAGAAATGGACAAGAAGAAAGCCAGCAATTTTAAAAGCGCACTTAGCAAATGAGTGTTTACCATGTTCTGAAGATATTAATGAATACTACTAGCGTGACAATCTTATTGAAAATAAAATCAATTATACTCGAAATCCTTCACAAAACTTAGCTATACAAACTCCACTAATGCAAACTAAAATTACACAACATTTCAATTCAAATGCTCCACTTTCTTCTAAAGTAAATGATCGTATTGATTGATCTTTGTTAAAAGCATGGGTAATGGCAGAAATACCCTTTAAAGTCATTGAAAATCCACATATGGGCTGATTTGTCTACTCTGCATTAAAAAGAGTTATTGATTGATTTTCACAATTTTTGTTACTCAAAATTGTTTTGTAATACCAAAAAATCATCTGATTGATGATCACTTGACTAAATAATAAGTTGAACAAAAATTTATATTTGCGAAACTTAAATTACTGTATTAAATGTGAAAGAGCTGTGAAAAAACCCATTTCACTAATAAAAAACCCATTTCTCATATATATGGAATTTTTAACATATATTATTAAAAAGTAAGTATATTTTAATAAAAAATAAAGTAAAATAAAAATTTATATAGCCTTAGTAGCTATAAATGTTTATAAAAGTATAATAAAAATATCATATAAAAGATGGTATCATAATAAATATTTTCAAACAATAAAAATAATTATTTTAT